CATGGAAGAGAGCTCTGAGGAGCAAAGCCCGGTGGTGTATTAGTTGATGACAACGACCGAAAATCCAAAACGGCATAACTAGACACCGACGTTCATATCTTTCTTCAAAGCGACAGGGTTAATTTGTTTTTGCAGCAACCTTCGACTACGCTTTTTACAAATCTTTTTCCGGGAGCTACTTATAAAGATGGCATATCATTTGTTTCGCGTTCTACGCACGGCTATTTATGGGCAGTCAGTTCTCCTTCTAATTCATGTCATAAGACAAAAGTAAATCGCTTATGATACACAGAACAGATAAAAAGTGTGTTGTCGCCACCGAATATTGATAATGATTAGATGATGTAATTGTAAATAAAATCAAGTAGATAACGACAACTTTGCCGTGCCCTTGCGTAGATATCGTTTTGGGAGAGTTTTTTGAATCCCCGAGTCACTCGAGCCAGAATGTATCAAAATAAATTTGACCTTGTGAGGATCATGGTCAAGATTAACATGACACCTCCTAGCACTTTCTTAAACACCTTCCAAATGAAACATTTCTTACAATACAAAAATTCTCCGACTATTTGAGCTAAGAGACAATCAACACATTCGCCATTTTGCACAGGCCAGAGATTGAATTTTTATTTTAAATTAATCGACTGAAATTATTTTGACGAATTTTGTGTGTATAAAAACCATGGCCAAAGTATTGTGCAAATTAGGTTAATACACAAAATTCACAATAAAAGCGTATAGATAACTATAGGACTTAAAAGAATAACGACATCTATAACTATAATTCAAGAACGAATAACATTTTTAGAAACAATATAGTCAGAACTAAGAAAAATACAAAATTCATATAAATGCACAAATCATTTCCGAGGAACTTACTCGAGGGAACAGAAAGAAGGTATTTAAAAATCTGAAATTCCCCTAGAAACGAGCCTGAAAAGAAAGAGGTATATATAAAGGAAAACAGAATATTTTTATAAACTATAGTATTGTATATCATCCTATTTATCTTTATTTTATAAGTTTGACTTAGTTTTAGTATAATAATGTAATACCAGCATTGTCAAAATTATTAGAAAAAGCGGTTGAGTTGCAATTAATGGAAACTCTAGCAAAGTTTTCTTTGCTTTCTCTCCAATTCAATCTGGTTTTAGAAAGAATTTTTAGCTGTACAACTGCACTTCTACATGTAACAGATGACATTATCAGAGCCACTGATCAGGGAAGGTGTACAGTTTTGATAATGTTGGATTTTAGTCGAGCTTTCGATACGATCAATTTTAATTTACTCCTAAATATATTGCATTATATAGGCCTCGATTCGGATCGTGTCAACTTTTTCAGTAAGTATCTAAAGAGCAGAAAGCAAAGGTTTTCTTGGAGGAAGTTATTCTAACGCATTAGCCTTAAAATCAGGCGTGCCGCAAGGCTCTATTATGGGTCCACTCCTTTTTGCAATTTATACTTCATACCTGGGCAAAGGCTTAAATACTTGCAATATGCACTGCAATGCTGATGACACTCAGCTGTATCATACTTTTCTACCCAGTGATGTGGACATTGTGAGTGCAACCATCAACAGAGATTTATCATTATTGACAAAGAATGCCGAAGAACATTGTTTACATCTTAACTCTAGCAAATCTAAAGTAATTGTATTTGGGCCAAAGCATGCGCGCCAGGCTGTTACTAACTCAATTAACTTACCATCAATGCACAACAACTTGAAACTGTCAGTGAATCAAAGAACTTGGGTGTAACACTGGATGTAAATTAAGATTTGAAAAACATGTAAATTCGCTCATTCGTAAGGCATATTCCTCTTTAAAAATATTGTACGGCAACAGACGTAACCTTCTCGTTAGAGTCAAAATAAATCTATGTGAGTCGCTGGTGCTCTTGCACTTCAATTTTCTGATATGTTGTATGGCCCATGCTTAACTGCCACTTACCAACAAAAAATTCAGGTTGCGCAGAATTCTTGCCTCAGATTAATATATGGCATCAGAAGACGAGACCGAATATCCATAAGTTGAAAGATGCGAATTGGTTGAACATGGAAACAAGAAGATTTTTGCATGCCGCAACATTACATCATAAAATAATTTTGTATAAGACCCCCCACTTACTTATTTGAAAAAGTTACATTTCGAACAGATGTGCATAACATCAATATAAGATCCAGGGGGTTGCTGACACCGCCGATATTCCGAACAGCCCAATTTGAACGATCGTTCAGCTACCAATTTGTTCCATTTATAACACCCTTCCGGTACAATATAAACTCTGAGCATCTCAAGTTTCAAAACTCAATTAAAAAAATATCTATTATCCCAGCAGTAGTAACCATGTTTCAGAAAAATATTGATACAAGTTTATGATTCTTTTATAGTAGATGTATTAATGTAAGCACTGCATATACATTTAGTAATTGTAATGAGTAGAATAAGTTGGTCTCACTCACCTTTTGTACAGACTTTTTTATAGCGGGTTAAGTGGAAGAGCAGCTACAGCTGAACTTCGCCCGTATTTGGCTATTTTTTATATAATCAGTCTATTTGGAAATAAAGACGGTTATTATTATTATTATTATTATTATATGAAGGCCTTGATGTCAGTTTTCTTGTAATGTTTTAAGGTCAGAAATAAATCTCTAAATAAATATTTTTATCACGATTTTGTGTACAATTTCACGACTGCAGAATTCAGTAGGCGTGTCGCTATCGTTTGAAAGATGATAGTCGCTGTCAAATCCTTCTCCTCAATTGATGAGAGATATTTAAACCTACCACTGACTGCCGTTTGATGAGCATTCATCATTCAGGTACCGTTTACACCCTACAGTGTTATCACACTAGACAGCTTGAAAGCTCTTTTGAGTGCTTCAGCATGTCAATGACTTTACAACAGTTAAATAGCTTATAGCTCTTCAACTAAAGTCAAAAATATACATACATGTTGCGCTTTCTGTTATGTTTTCAAAAACTATATTTCTTACACAATCACTGACAACATTGCCATTTGTCGCCGGGTTCCTTTGCCTTGCATTTTAACGCCCAATGTTACTAAGCAGGTGCGTAATAAAGGGTCAGAAATTAAATCAATAAGACGACGTCTTTAAAGTGAGGGATCTAATGATCCAGTCAATTTCTTGTAAAGTATCCCTCAAACTAGAGAAAAATTATAAAATTTGTGGGAGATAGGCCCCTAATTCCTATATTAAACCAAGAAATACTTTGTATATTGCATGAGTCATCCACAAATACTTACTTTTTTGTCCAGTTTGTGCCATAGGCGCACATTTTGATTCCCGTGGGTTAATAGTTATATGTAATAGCAGTGCTGGGCACATTCCTGTTGTCTGACGACATAGGATGAAGCTTGAAAATAGGACATGCCTAATCTCCTTATTTGATAATTTGTAAAATGGCAAACTTAAAGCCGCAACGTAACCGAATATCAGAAGGCCAAAACGAAAGTTTGTTTTTTGTTCTGTCAAGCTTTCTAAAAGGATTATGCGACAAGAATATTGCATGAAACAAACATATTACATACCTTAAGAAGATTCGTAACAGTTCTTTTTCTTTCTCCAAACTAGCAAGCAGTAAACTAGCGGCTCCTTGCCTAATACAGTACGTTTCAAAAGCGTGAAGCATCGGTGTTGCTTCTAGGAACAATTTGCCCATGTTAACTGTAAGCAGGTCATCATCGCCTTGCTCCAAAGCTATCTCGACAGCATCTCTCAACCTTTCTGCTAGAGCTTGGCTGTTCTCCAGGAGTTCTTCTACATTCAAGAATATAGCAGACAGTTGCTCCGGTGTCAGTAGACCAGCTACCAGCATAGGTTGGTAGAATTCTTCGAGGATAATCTGCAGATCTCTGCCGTATTTCTCTTCGGTTTCTACGATTTCGGTGATGATCTCCTTGCGTTCAGATCTTTTCTTCCCGCATTTTCTACAGAGAAGCGGTTCGTTCTCTACTTTGATTTCTAAAGTGATTTCGCAGTCTTCGCAAAGCACTGATACTTCTTGTTTCGTCCTATATTTACTTAGCGAGCTTTTACTGGTTTCTGAGCCGACTCCTGAGTCGTTTCTTTCGACCTTTAACAGAATAACGCGAATATTAGTATCTACCTACTTTGCGCTCGGAAGTGATCAAAAGGCATAACCACCCACGAAAACAGCGTCGATGATTTATTGACATGAATCCACCCCGAAGAATGTTGTTACTTTTTGTGTATTTTGCTTACAGATATCTACTTCCCTAATTAATATTATAAATGAGAAAATCTGAATGTTTGTTACTCAATCTCACCAACATGTCTGAGCTGATCTGGATGAAATGTGATACAGAGATAGGTTATAGTCTGGAATACGAGTAGCACATGGACTACCTTTTATTCCAGGAAATAACTCTATTTCAGGGGCTACTGCCCAAACAGCTTAATGAAATTTGATATGAGGTGTCTGACTAACGGTATATAAATATGGCACTTGCATCGTGCGTTTATAGCATTTTGGCATTCGCTTTCTTGGCGTAATTGTTCTGATTTAGTTTTGTTTGGTGTGAGTAAATATAGTTATTGAGTTATCTGACATAAAACCTTTAATGCTGCTGGTAGTCTAAACGTATTAGAGCAAAATACCCCTGGTTTTCGAAATAATTGTTAAGCCTTGTTTTATAGATGCAAGTTGTTCTAGGGGGTATTTAAAACATGGACGCATAACACGGGTACACCAATTTTTGTGGGACAACAAAGAATGAGAAAACGTGTTTCTTGGGATTCAATCGAACGTGTAGGTAGGAACAAAAAAATTTCCCAATTAAGATTTTTAGGTATTTATCAGGCCTGCAGAATGAGACCACACTTAAAAAGTTGTCACTAATATTAAAAAAGTTAAGGCCGAAAACCGAGGATAAATGCAGGTTTTGGCACTTGTTGCTAATGCGACTATAATTTCACGCAGCTACTTGAAATTCTTCAAGTCAGAAGGCTTCTTACTTCTGAATAGCCACAACAAAATTGGAGTCGATTGGTCAGGTATATAGTTTTAGAGAATTTCTAATTGTCTATCCCAAAACACCTGTTTTCTTGGCCATCATTTCTAGTTTATTGAGCAATATACAGTGCTCCGTCAAAGGGCACTTTATGGCAAGAGTTTACTTTGACTACATGAATCACAAGCCATTCCAAAAGATAACTGTTATTTTTACGCGAAAAACGAACGTTTCCTTTTTTTCTCCTAAACAGATTCAAACATTTCGTATTTGTAAGTAACTGAACAGATTCGCTACGATATTCGAAAAGCATACGTTATTAAGCACATTTTAAAACAAAGCGGATGTGTCTCACCTTTTGTTGCGAAGAAAAAAATTACTTACAAATACGAGATGATTGAATTTATTTAGAAGAAAAAACAGAACCCTTCGTTTTTCGCATGAAATAAAAATTATCTTTCGGAATAGCTTGTGATCCATATCTGCAAGGTAAACTTACGTATTTTGCTATAAAAACCCTGAATATTGCTCAATAAACTAGTAGTGATGGTCGGAAGGCAGGAGTTTTGGGATAAACAATTAGAAAATCTCAAAAACTACTTGACCAATGACTCCTATTTTGTTGTGGCTATTTTACAAGTAAGAAGCCTTCTGATTTTAAGAATTTCAAGAAGCTGAGTGAAATTATCGTCGCACTAGCAACAAACGCCGAAACCTGCATTTTGCCACGGTTTTAGGTCATAACTTTTTTACTATTAGTAGGATATTTTCTGTAGGTACCATAAATACCTAAGATTCTGATTTGAAGAGTTGTTTCGTTCCTGCCAACACCAAATACCCCCTTGAACAACAATAAAACCAGACCTTACACTTATTTCGGCGAAATTTGCACTAAGCGGGAAAGGTACATTATTTATTTTAGCCAACTCTAATGCTGTGGTCTGGTATCTTCTTCTCTATTGATAAATGTCATTGTCTATAACAGTCAGCATCACTTACTAATTGATACCCGAGGAAGGTTATAGGCATTCAATCAACTGTCATGGCAAGCACCAAAATATCTACCGTCACCATTAAGACCACAACAGCTCAGCCAGCCGTCTCGCCACCCAACGTCAAATGTTAATTTGCACCATCGACTTCTTACGCTAGAAAATGTTACTAACACAAAACATTGTTTTGCAAGGAACTTCCGATGATATCTTGTATCTCTGATGGCATTAGTAAATTGACATCCAACTTTCATGCTTGGGAGATTTGGTCACTTTATAGTCACGCCACCTACACGTTCCGCGGGTTAAACCATAGGACAGAAAACTAGTGTTTAAATTTCGCATATCCTTTAAACTTGCTTCCCGCAAGACATAGATTGTGAGATGTTAAGAACGGTAAAACAAGTTAAACCAATTTGATGGCACAACATACCTCTGCAGATTTTTGGCAAATAGCTTTATCATCTATCAGTGCTCCGGATATCACTAGCGAGTTATCTTCACTGGAATCACTAACAGTACTCATCTGAGAAACTCTGTTGTATGCTTCTTTGTTTTCTTCCTCGACCGGGATAGCGTAAGTATAGTTGTCTTCCTGTTCTTGCACTATTCCTCTCTCTTTCGCATCTACCAAGTAGCTCAGGATATCATACTTCGATGCTCCTTCGAATATGGACCTGCAATAATTATACCAAATTCAGGCAGATCGGACATTCAAGATTTTCTGTTAATTCCAAATGAGGAGATGAATTTTGGTATCAAGAATCACCAAATAGCTTTAAATTGCGGGCTTTGGAAAACAGCTTTTTAACGACAAGGCAAAACAAGGATATAAAGTGCTACATTTTTGTATCAATAGGCCCATTCGCGAACATTTGAAAGAGATTTTCGGTATACCTTTAAATTAAAGAAATATTTGTTTCAATTTTCAAATGTTGCACCATTTTCCACTTTGTGCCGATTAGTATTTATGGTAGTGAAATGCCGGCAACATGCTAAGCAAGAGCATATACGAGGAGGTACTCAAAAATAACCTAAATGGCATTGCAGTGGGCGGAGCTAGTGTAGTACATATTACTGTACCAACACACATACCCTCCTACCCTGTGCGGTCCCTCCACCACCCATTTTCCAGGCAACCTCAAACCTTTGAGGAGTGGGGGGAAGAGCAATCTGCTCCTCACTCCTCTCCCTCCCGAAGGCCTGGCGTGGCGCTGCGTGGTTCAGGCCGCTGCGCATTCCCCGAGTGTGTGCTGCCGAGCGAGCTACCCCCTCCCCAATTTTGCCCCTTTTTCCCGAAATTGACTAGATCGCGCACGCGTCGCGGAAGCACGTGGTGGACGTTTCATCCAACTGTTGGTTCTCGACTTTTATGGACGGCCTCTTTCTTGGGGGTCCTGCGCTGGGGGCTATGACCTAAGCCCCGCATTAAGGTTGCCTTCGCTCTTTCCTCGTCGACTGGAGTCAGTCAGTCATTTGCTGTTTGTCTTCGTCTCCTGAGGTTAGCCTCGAGTCCGTGGTTGACTCTGGCCACCTCAATCGGCAGGCTTCTTTTTGTCCACCCGTTGTACACGGGCTGTTCTTTCCCCTCTTGGGTGTACAACTATTGTCGGTCTTCTCCAATTTTCTTTGGCCTCAGCAGCTGCTAGGGCCAAATTCCTTCTTGTTGCAGCTGGCTTTTCGGTCTTTCATGACGCCTTATTGTTCTTGCGGCTCACCCCTGCAGTTCATTTGGCTGTGGCCAAGCTGCTGGCATCGGTAGCACTGACCTGGTCCGGTCCTCTTTCATAATGCCTCCACTTGGATCATCACCATGTGGCAAACAGCATTTATCTTGTAGATCTCCGTCTTTTCTTTCGGGAGATCTACTTTAACCAGCGGTATCGCTTTGCCAGCCCTCCTACTGGTCATTCTGCTCACCCTCTTTGGGTGGAAACCTTGTTTTACCAAGTCTTCTCCGATCTCTTGGCAGGTGTTGATTATTGGCATCCCCCTTAATACCACTCCCAGTGGCTTGTCTTCTGGAAGAGATTATGTATGATGCTCTATCTTTGCATCTTCCAAGGTCTTTCTAATCTTTCTGTAGTCCTCACTGTCCTTTGGTTGGACTTTGATACCTACTCCGGTTAATCCTGCAGGCATCTCAATTGTGAGCATCTTCTTGCTCACTACTTCCTTCCACTGTTATTCCCTATGGATATACAGCGGCGGTGGCCTCTTCTCCTTTTTCTTACTTGCCTCCGTCTGCGGAGGAGTGTCTCTTCGATTAGCTGGCGCGTTAAGTCCGCCAGCTGACAAGATAGCTCAGCTATCTGTTTCTTTAAGTCCTTATTTTCTTTTCTCATTTTCTTGAGATACCCTTATGTTGGGCACCCTCTTCGTCTTCGCTGGCTGAGGAATAGATGTATTCCTCGTCGTCCAACATCTTTGCCACTGTATCCAACGTGCCCCGTTCTATTACAACCATCGAATTTCCAAAGTTCGACTTTTACACAATTTCCAGTTGTGGCCGCCTACTGGAAATTGTGTGTTCCTTTTGCGCTGGTGCCCTTTTGGGCTCACTGCACTTCGCCTCACTTCACTCCTCTTCACTTTGTTGCGTCCTTTTTCACAGACGAAAATGTTGAAAAAATTCGACAGCTTGTGCTATTTGGAGGTTTTAAGTCGATTGTGAAACAGTGTTCGGCAAAAAAAGGCCCGCTTTGTAGCAGTCAGGAGACTGGTTCTTCCATCTCGACAATGCACCTGCGTACACAGCTATCTTTGTTCGACAGGATCTAGCTAAAAATGGCATGGTTCTGCTGCCTCACGCACCTTATTCGCCGGACCTGGCTCCGTGCGACTTTTTCTTATTTCCACGGATGAAAAGGGGCATGAAAGGACGCCGCTTTGACGACAATGAAGAGGTCAAGAAAAAAACGAAGGAGGAGCTGTCAGACATTTCTAAGGAAGACTTCAAAAAATGTTTCGAGCAGTGGAAGCACCGGTGGGACAAGTGTATTAGTTGTAGTGGACACAGTATTTTGAAGGGGATAAGGTTACTTTGTGAAAAAGCTGAAAATAAATAGCTTTTAAAAAATTATTCCGTTTTTTTTTTTGGGTACCCCCTCGTATTCTGGTTATTAACGTATACTATGACAGCCCATGTACGAGCATTCTTTCCTGCTATTTGCAGCTAATATACTAACGTTCTTTCTTTGCTGCCACAGAAATGGATGGCAATATTTCCGTGTGGATTGTTAATATCTCACACGCGTAAATTCGTACTGGAGTAACAAATCGTCGCCCTAAAACCCGGTTGTCTAATCGCTAGTTAACTTTCAAGTTTCCTAATTATAAGTTAGCTATTGGTGTATTTAAAGTTCCAATACGTAACTGTTGATCTCGCATCGCTGATTCAACGTCTAAACTGTCGAGTTCTGTGTTCCGTGTCATCCGTGAGAACGGGTGAAGGTTGGGCATGGGGGCTTAACTGCAACTTTCTGGCCAAGTTATTCACTACCGTTTTAGTACAAACCCGAAATTGAAAAACGCGTTCTAATACTTAACCTCCGAATACTAGTAAAATGACAGTTGACCTGGAATTTAAAAATCGGCCCTTACTGTGAAATATTAAATACAGAAGGGGTTACTTTCCTTCCACAACATAGTTGAGAGGAAAAATTGACAGCTTTATTCCCCATTCACTCTTATGACAGGAAAGAATGGTATGAATAATATAGGAAAAAGGTAAAGGGGTCCATCGAGACAGCTACACTTCTGACCACTACCCACCTAGTTGTAAATTCCTTATCCAAGTTCAGATCATCCAGAAGGCTCGATGGTGGTGGATTACTGGGCAATGGTGGTGGAATCTCAATCTCTTCGTAGATCGGATCGTTATTGGTCTTTATACTTTCGTAATGATGATCATCACTGTCTGCCACCTCGATCTCGGCAGGCTCTGCCAACAGCTCGTAGAACTTCGTCCTATTGCTCAGTTCGTCTTCGTTCACAGAACTCCTATTGCTGGCAAAATAAATAAATATGTTGAGCAACCAAAGCGTTACAAAATTATCAGTAAGTTCGGCAGTGTTTTCAGGTTTTTTCATTCCCACTCTCGCGAAATATACTAAACACTGACATAGAAAAAAACGCAAAGTAATAATAAATTTATCACAAAGATACCTAGGTATGTTTGCTTAGGTTAGCTAAGAGCTATTTTAATCTCTTCATTATACGTAGAGTGAGAAGACGAGAAAATTTTCAACAGCTTAGCAAGTTTTATAGGGGGCGAATAGTGGGTTTGTGTGAGGTTGGCCACCAGGGTGCCCAGAAGTCTAAATGCGATGGTGGTTTGGTGGCTATAGTCTGAATTACTTTGGTCAATTTTGAAGACAATCAAGTTGACTTGTTGTCTTCGCCTCTAGATCTCCCGATCATTCACCCATTGAACCCGCCTAGGGCATTATGGGAAGGAACAAGTAGCCTGCAATGAGATGCCTCTAGAGGAAATCGATCATCTGATTAGGAGTATGCCCAAACGTATGTCTAAGTGCATAAGACATCATGGAGGCCAAACAGATTATCAATTTTTCACATTTTCCTAAGGGATATATTTTTCTGAAATTTTGATCAACTACTTAACAATGAAAAAAAATGTAATAAATTTATTACGTTAGACTATATTCAGCACACGCTTGAATAGCGACTGAAATACAAATATTTGCAATGACTATTTTGGTAATAAATGTTATAAGAATGTTCAGGCATCTTAGAAGCAAAGGAAAATTTCGTTTTTTCGTATTGCCTTTTGAGATCGAAAATGGCACATTATGTACTTTTTCGAATATTGAATTGCTTATATCTCGAAAACTATCAACTTTTGATTTAATTTCATGAAAATCTTTGTTGTTCAAAATGACTCAAAAAACGGAGCAATAAATCAATTTTTTGGATTTATCAATACGATAATGCAAGAAACCGAATCAATATTATTTGGTAGATTAAAATAAAATCACCTGTTGTCCGTATAGCAATCAGACCCAGGATCCATCAGCTCGTACTGCGTAGAAGAGCTATGCTCGGAAGATACGTCATCGCCAACAGACTCATAGCTTCTCAGTCTCAAGAACGACTCCTCCATAGCTTTCTCTTCAGGAACTTCACCGACCAAACTTTGCACCATGTGGTTGAACATCTTCCTGTCACGTGGTCTCCTGGACACATCTGCCTTGCCACAGACGTGCGGGACTAGATTACGCTTCACAGCTGCCACTGGGTCTTTCAACAGCTCTTTCAGTACGTCAGAAGATGGCGGGTCTTCTTCCTTCTTTTGAGATCCTTCGATTTGACAACAAGTCATTGGAACATATTCTTTGGTTGAAGCTGGGTCTTCGGTTTGTTTTGGAGGATTTTCCGGAGTTGGTACGAACGATCCAGTGATGTACACGGTACTACTCTTTTTCGTGGATATTGCTGGAGGACATGCTGTAATTGTGTCGTTCACAACCACTGATGATTGGTACAAAGGAATGTCATCGCTAACATTAACAGTTGAATAACAGTCATCGCCGTTGATAAGTATGGATGTTTTTCGTTGAGGATTTTCCAAAATTGAAACTGAATGGATGTTGGAAGTATCTGAAAATTCGTTCTTGATTTGGATTTTATGGACTGCTGGTGGACTGTTCACTTGGACTACTGTTCTGTTCATGTAGTCGCTTAGTAAGTTGTTCGGTGAGTCGATTCTTACGGTATGGATTGTGGCAGATGTGGATACCTATAAAAAAAATGGAATAGGTTGCTGGTTAATCATGGCTTTATTTTTCAAATAATTGTTTTGGATCATCACGTAGAAGTACTCAAAGCCCCTATATGGTAATTAGTGGCACACCCTTCGTAGCACGAATGCACGGAAGGTGATGGTAGCGTAGGTAAACACAAAGTATCTGTTACGAGCCATGGATTACCTATACTATGGTACGAAATAAGCAATTCTAAAGCTCTGTATCCGGGAGCTATCCATGTAAGGACTTTGGCACAGGGTCAACTAGTTTTTATTACCTTTACAGGTTCTTCACCAGGAGGTGGAGAAGACTGCTTTCCATTACTTCTTTTCCTAGGCGGTGCCTGTGGTGGAATATTTTCATAAAGAAAATTATTCTCCAATTGAACTTCCTTGAGACACCTTTCCAGTTTATCCAAAGCAGTTTTCTCATCTGGCAGATCTTCATAAACATGATCACTGATTTTTCTTCTAGGTTCAATATCCATGCTTATTTTTTGAGTATTTTGTTGATATGGAGGAGTAGTTCTACCGACTTCATGCAGCAAAGGTTTCAATTCTTCCTTCAAACTCTCAATGACCTTCTTGGTTTCACTATCGATCAAATTAGATAGTTTTCTGGTTGGACCCCTCTCAGGATCCAATGATTTTGGCTCCGTATCTTCTGCTTGTTTGACCTCATCTTTCGCTTCTTCTTTAATCATGGGGGGTGAAGGAGGTCGACCATTTGGCTTTTGATCAGAAGTACTGACTTTCCTGGTTATAGATTTTATACCATCCAATCTCTCGAGATCACTGAAGTCTATTCTACAGTCTGCCCGTTTTTTCTGTCTCAGTGCCATGGTGTCGTGGAACACAACGCTGCTCTCCCTGTTGGAAGCGCGGTCACTGAAGCTTCGATTCAGATTGCAAGCTCTCTTAGGTTCGCTTTGTGGAGTTTCATCTGCAAATAAAGAATTAGTAGAAGAATCTTCATCCAAAGGACTCTTTCCAAATGTCTAATTCGTACTAATATTATAATCCCTACTTAATATACTTATTAAATTAGAAAGTCTGGATGTTTATTGCTCAATCACGCCGAAGTGGCTGAAGGGATTTGGATGATATTTTATTATATGTAATTTACTGAATTTTGACATTCGTTTTCTTAGGGTGTTCGACTTGATTTAGATTTGTATGGTGTTTTGCTTTACTTCACGTATAATCTATAACCAAAACAAGGGTAACAATCTTATACCGGGTATTTCAAATTCGACCCTCATATTTAGGTAATCAGCAAAATGTAGATTAGAATGTTTCTAAATTCAATGTACCTCCGGCGAGAGACGGAAAAAGCGGATTTTCCCAAAATCGTTTTAATTTTTTCCTGATTTTATTTGTAGCGGGATTTTAAAATAAATTGCATTTTAACATTACCGCCTTTTTCCTCTACGAAAAGGCATAATTAGAATTTCAATATGACATTTTGTTGCTTGTATTACCGCATCAACTTTTTTTTTTCTTATGGACGCCATATTAGATTTCTGTACGAATGAATAGCCGTAATGGCGTCTATAAAAAAAACATGATGCTGGAGGACAAGAGATGAATATTGATATTCTAATTATGCCACCTTGTAGAGGAGAAAAATTGGCAGTGTTAACATGCAAGTTATTTTAAAATCCGATGTCAAATGTCAGGAAAAGATTATTACGATTTTGGGAAAATTCGTTTTTTTTCGCCTCTCTCCGCAAGTATTTTGAATTTCGAAACTTTCTAAGCGACTTCGTATCACTGACAGTTTCGGAAATCCCAATGGTCAGGGTCAAACCTGAAACAACCTGTAGATCTAAGATTCTTAGGTTTAGTAGTATTTGAGATTTTAGGAGCGCATAAAATGAAGGGCAGCTTCCACAGTTTAGAGTGGTATCCTTTCCAAGAAAAAACAATTATGTGAGTGGTATGAAGGGAAGTTGTAAGAAGTCTTACTTTGGTCATGGCTAGTGATAAGAGTGGGAATTCCCTTAGAGATCATTTTGAGGTCACTGACATACTACTTTTGTTATCGTAAGACCTTTCTTAGAAATACTTTCCAAAAGACTGTGTTTTCGGTGTGTTCGCTTATTTTATAGACCCCGTGTACATGAACGCAAATCCGACTATGAGTTCGTGGATAAAACCATGAATATAACCTTTTTCTGGTATAAATTAGTAAGTGGATCAGAGATGATGCTTACAGACTGGAGAGACACATTTATATATTGCTGCATTGGAAAGTTAAATCAAAAATATGTACCACCAAGGTAATTATTGAATTACTTTTAATATTGCATTTCTTTATCTGAAACTAATCTTCAAATCAATGCAAGACGTATGACCTATACTTTAGACTCTTTCCACACGAAAGGAGCCGCGGGTTAAGATTAGTTGTTATTAGCTCGGTCATATAGATCCTACTGAATTTAAGCTGCTGTCTGGGTTAGAACTGCGACTCGAAAAAAACTTTACGCGTCCAAGAAACAATTGATTATTTCTTAATACACAGCTTATTTTATTCCATTCTGACATCGATCTGTACTTAATAGAAAACCGTTATCCTAGACTAAACCAAATCAGTGATGTTCCATAAAATGAAGCACTTTGACACCCTACAGAAGGCGAAAAATATGTTATCATCACTAACTCTTCAAACATAGAGGAAAGTGCCCAAAACCGGACTCCATCATCTTGTTTATTCAAGAAAGTATGGTAAACAACTTATTCTATCTAAAGAAACTGTATTTCGACATCCAAAATCGGATCTTAAAGATCCTAGCACTATTTACGAGACAGTATGAGAACACAAAAAATAATTTAGGAATGTACTTTGAAAAGAGTTAGTGTTCGATTCGGCTACTTCCTCTTAGATGGCGCTAAAATCTTTTTATTTCTGATGCATCTCTGATGCCTCTCTTAATTTTAATTGCGTATCTTCCGACAATGATTAACGTATCATACAACGTGTAAAGAAGCATTCTCTTAAGTCCGCATATACTCCTGATTTGAAAAGTATATGTCAAAACCGGATCACTAGTAAAAATTGTCAATTATCAATTCGTCTTAAGTAAGGAAAAAGAAGGTGGTAGCCAAGGACCAGTCGACCTAGGCGGTACCACCCGCTAGGTTTTCCCAGGGTGTCTTATAAATGTCCGCATGTTTCCACACCTAAGCTTTGCAGTCGGTTATCTTCCAAAACAAAGAAATTAATGATGATGGATCCCTCGAGTACTAAGAATTCCGGACGTAAACTCACTCCATTCTCGGAAAGCCCGGGTCGAGGATGGACTCCAGGGAACAACATCGAAGATAAAATTTGTCTTACGAACATCTTCGAGATTAACAGAAACATTGATGCTGTTCATCACTACCTGCAATCCAATCGTCTCGCCATGCTTTTCTTGGCGGAGACAAAAATCTCAGAGTCTGCACCGATTAACCATCTTAACTTCCCAAACTACGAGGTGCACTCCAATCTGAGAAAGAACGGGGGAGTTGTGGCTTTTGTCCGCAGCAGTCTTCCCTGCTCCAGAGATGTTCCTTTGGAAGCACACCGGAAGGACATTCTGTGGCTTCGCCTCAACTCCAAAGCATCATCCAAATTTATTTGCTGCCGCTATCGCTCTCCCTCGGACCATAGCTGGGATGACCTACTTGAATACCTCGCCGTCAAGATCGACTTCCTGAACATCAATCACCACGCTTCATAGGTAGTTCTTCTCGGTGATTTCAATGCCAATAATGAGCTTTGGTTGGACTCAAGCAAGACCGATGCAGCAGGTCGTGCAATCGAAGCGTTCGCTCTTGCTCAAGGGCTGACCCAGCTAGTGACGAGCCCTACTTTTTCCCCCGCGTCTCGTCACACGCCAGTAGCCTGCTGGATCTCTTTCTGATCACTCATCCTGTCCCTTACAGCACTGCTGTCCTGTCCCCCCTGGGTAACTCAGACCACGGTGTTGTTGAGGTTCGGCTTCGATCAGAACCCTCTGTGGCAGCAGAGACTCATACAGGCCGCAAAACCTGGCATTACGGACATGCCGACTGGGAGGGGTCAGGGACTTCTTCTCTAGCTTTCCTTGGAGAGATGTCTGTTTCACTGACGCGGATGCGTCGGCTGTCTGTTCTTCGATAACCGAAATTATCCACAGTGAAGGTGCCTAAACCAGGGTCCAACGGCTGGTTTAACAAATCGTGTGACACTGCTCGCCAGCAGAAGATCAAGGCACACAGAACCTTCTTACAAAACCCCACTGTAGAGAACAGACAAGCCGACGTCGAGTCCAGAAGCAAATATAACGAAGCGGTTCGCAATGCCAAAAACCAGCACAATATAAAAGTTAGGCACAGGGTAATGTCGCAGCGCAATGGCAGTCGGTCTTTCTGGACGCTGGCCAAGCAGATTGAAAAAAATTTCTCACACAGTAGCCTTCCACCACTTACGTGTCAGGATGGAATGATTGTATTTGAGTCTAAGGCCAAGGCGGAAGTGCTGGTTAAGATCTTTGCTGCCAACTCCACCATGGACGTCCCCCCTAACGCCCAAGTGCCGTCAACTCAAAGGGTTCCCTACACTAAGCGGGAGATACTCGTAACATTCAGGCATAAGACCGTAAGACGAGTGCTCTTGTCGCTCGACATCAACAAAGCTTCTGGTCCGGACTTGATTCCTGCCATTGCACTGAAGAGGTGTGCAGACGAGCTTGCCCCAGTTCTGTCGCGTCTCGTCCAGATATCTTATGAATCAGGCACCTTCCCAGAAAACTGGTTGGATGGGCTGCTCATATCCAGCCCATCCCGAAAAAAGGATCTAAGACCGACCCTTACAACTACAGACATATAGCTCTGCTTTGTGTTATAAGTAAGGTGATGGAGAGGTGCATAAATCGAGAGCTTCTGGACTACCTCCAGCGTCACAACCTGATTAGCGACAGGCAGTATGGTTTCCGGCATCAACAATCCACAGGGGACCTCCTAGCTTACGTCACGCAATTGTAGAGTAAACTATAGTCTTATGGTGAGGCTCTTGTCGTTGCTCTTGACATCACGAAAGCGTTCGATTAGCTGTACCACGCTGCCGTCTTAAGCAAACTTCCATCCTATGGCCTCCCAGAAAAGCTTTGCAGATGGGTGGCTGACTTTATCTCTGGTCGCAAGATGTCCATCGTAATTGACGGGTTCTTCTCTTCACCCCACATTGTCAATGCGGGTGTTCCCCAGTGATCGGTCTTGGCTCCGACACTGTTTCTCTTACTACCCCTACTACATCATCCATGCTCGATGCTGTCCCGAGGAGGGCAGACCGACTGATCGATGACTCTTCTCTAACAGACAGTCTCGGGACTCTTTCGCATCGGCGGGCTGTCGGCGATCTAGCTCTTTTCTACCATTACACCAACGGGCTTTGCTCCTCAGAGCTCTCTTTCATGATGTCGCTGCGCGATGTGCCTGCCAGACAGACCCGCCTGACTTTGGCGTCCCATCCTAACCGTGTCGAACTTCGTACATCCAGAACTGGCCGATACAACCGAGGGTGTCGATATTGGGGAACAATCTACAAGAGGAAGCTTTTCCCAACTCTACTAACCTTAGGCAGTTCAAAAATCATATTAACAAAATTTCCTTGATATCATCATGGCAGCCGCATTTAGGCTTCTGCCTGCGCGGCTGCTACGATATAAAAAAAAGATACAAAATATACTCAAAACAAAGATACATATTTTTCACCTCCAAAACGACAAAAAAAGATGGACGTACACACTTCTATACCTGCTTTTTCCATCCCATCAAAGTTATCTCTCATTTTTCCATAAGCAATCGTCTAGATAGTTCACCTTGTATTTATATCATTACTCAACATTTATAAACCAGCAGAAATGAAATTGGATCCAATAAAATCTTCATTCCCAACCACAGAGGTAATCACTGCGTGATCTTGCGGTAAAAGCATCGTACCATCTATCAACTTGTTGCAAAAGTTCAAGGCAGAATTTAAATATCAAATTACTTAGAACTGATATATCAACCAGCTTGTATACTGTTCATAAACGGATTGCTGTGATGGTATAATAGCATGGTACTGCTCCTATTTATGAATTGCAGATTACCATATTATGGGTAATCTAGTTCAAATGATCTACGATCGATGTTAATGTCTATTTTTAGACATTACGGATAATTTGATTTGGATTTTCTTATTTTATAGTCGAAGAACTAGTCTTGATTATCTAAGCCTACACAATATGTATACGGTATAGTTGCATAAGTATTAACCTAAAGTAAGATGTACAAATATCTACGGCGCCTCCAATAAAACAAACGATTTAGGTCGGTTTGGCTCCAACTTTTGGTCGGCTTCTCTGATTTTCATTTGAAAGAAAATTTAGCAATCTACAAATTAAACTATTTATTGGCTACTTGGAGTTGCTCACACCCTCTTTGACCTTCTATAACGTTTAAACAGCTTAGCCAATTGCCGTCACACACAGCTAAAAACCATCTATACAGACGAGGCTTTTGACTGAAAAATCCGCACTCAAATCAAATTATCCTAGGGATTCACTGCTTGAATTTATTTTTAGGCTACTTGACTTGACTTAAAATCAAGTCAGCTCAAGTCAAGTATTAGATATTAGCAATGTGAAGTTGTTTTTACTTTAAGTAAAATTCCTGTACTCTTGATAGTACTTGACAAGTTTTGTAATACAAATACGAGTAGATTATAAATACACAGAGGAAGGAATTTGTGTCAAGTTACAGAGAAAGCAATACATATTGAACAAAATATTTTGTTTATAGCATAACAAATGAAAGAACCATAAAGCTCAAATAGAGAAAGAATATTTCTTCGTCAGCTAATACAAAAAATGATCAATTTTGAACTAGCTTTCCATTCGCTAACCATGAGTAAAGACACATGAGGGTCCTAACGGTTTTGTCGATTGATCTGTTGAGGGGTTCCACAATGGTCAGTGCAGTCCAGGTGTCGATAAAATATATCTTGCCATTAAAACTAGAACAAGGACATTTTCATACCCTTTCTACCACTCGTAATTATTTGCATTGAAATACAAAATACTGTTCATCAGTTGTACAAATAAATATCTCTAAAGGCCTTTTGTAGAACAAAAATATCGAATAGTTTGAAGATACTTGACCTCAAGTCAAGAAGAATATTAAAAAAATCAATTCAAGTGGACTATTAACGTAATTTTATTTTCAAGTCAAGTAGTTTCCAAATATATCAAGGTGCTAGAATTGATGAATCCCAAGTCGGATATAAAGTTTTTGGAGTAATCAAGGTAATCTCACCTGTTTGTGCATGGTGAACCTCGTTTTCCACAAATGGTTCTTTAGTATTGCTACATTCAGTTGCTTCCTCTTCTTCTGCTCCACTATTGCAACCATTCTCTAGTTTATCAAGACTATCTTCCGAATCCTTCCTACTCCTAATATTTTCCATCAAGAATTGTACTTTCTTTCTGACAGTGGGTAAAGGTAGATAAAACTGTGAACCACCTTTCTGAGCTGGAGGTGATAGGCTTCTTTCTCCATAATTATCTGATTCTGTATCACTGTAGTTGGTTGAAGGTTTCTTCAAGATGGATTTGAATCGACTCGTGAAATCTAGGTCTTTGTTCTCTGAGATTTTTGGAGAAGACGAAGTGGTTTTTGGAGTTGATGACTTTTTTGGGAGTGAATGCTGAAATTAAGTGAAGTTGTATAGCAATATTCAAAAGATATCATTCAAACATTAGCAAAGTTCAGATAATACCCACGAGCCCAGTATTTAAGCTGGAAAAATATAGTCTTGTTTGACATCGCTATGTTTTTACCAATTGAGATACTGGATCTAATATACCAGTTCCGCCGTTTGGAAGATATGGTAATTCTGATGATAGATTCGCTAAACTGTAATGTGGAAAGCCCCAAGATAAATAAGAGTATTGGGTGGCTCTATTTATCGAAACCAAGCAAGAACACATTTCTCCAGGCAAATAATTAGGCATTTCAAAAATCTTCTTGGAACATTATTCTACAGGATCCAAAAAATCGGCAATACTGCGATGAGGCTCGTCCCATGCGACCTAAGATAGTTGTTTTCCAGGGTCCAGGTGTGTCCCCAAAGGGGGAAACCATGGAAATCTAGTTATCGCCAGTTAAGCTGGAAGTATTGATAAACGCATTTTACCTGAAGGTAGCCAACCTCTCTATTCGTCATTGTGTGTCAGAGTAGTCCGTAGCACCTTTGCTCTTGGTTAAAGTACCATAAGTTAGTAGGTCTGTCAGGCCTGATTGCCCTACATACCGGACAAGGCCAGGGAGAAAGAAGAGAATAAGAGAGAAAGGAAGGAAGTGCGTTAGTTTGAGGGGCATTGTTAACTAGTATCATCAAGGAATTTTAAATTGATGATAAAATTAATTTAGAGACTAGAAAATAATGAATTTTGTAATTTTGGTTGGAACTAAAGACGCACGATTTAATTTTGCTCGCAGTACGTGCCGCGGTGTTGTGTGCTTGCGAATTTGCTTGACTGTATAGTCTACTGAGTCAGGTTTCAAAGGTTTCTTATGCGATTCCGCTGATAGCCAACCTATTACTGTATATACCCGTCCAAACAAATATCCGAGATCAGATTAGATACCGTAGCACGATCTATGAGAATTTTTCACAGCTATATTTTTCCTCTCCGCAATAACGGTGGCGAGGTAGGTTAGAGGTGTCGTAGTAGTTCTACCATTCAGAAGGTGACAGCGGTGACTAGGTCGCAAATCCTTCTTCTTCGATAGTAAAATCGGGCATTAGCAGCCTGTATCACTGTTGTGGTGCTGTGTAGGACATTTTTTATGCAAAAACTTGTCGCATTATCTGTTGTAATCCATATGCATCTGAGAGATTGCCACCTTCCTCTGGGACACCCTGTACATCCCCAATTTCTTTAATATCCAATACACTTGAAGACGTAGCTCAACTTACCAAATTTTCTGTACGTTTTTCCTTAGCCTTAGGTTGCTGTGGTGGTAGTGGGGATTTAACTTGAACATCTTCATATTCCAAATCACAAAGAGATGGTCTAACTCTTATCCTCTGCCCATTCACAAACTTGATGCTAGAAGATTCTTTTGCCTTAGGTCCATCGTCAGCGGATACTAGCTCGTATGGATTGATGTCACATTCCAGAATTGACCTACCAAAACAAGAAGACAAATATTACATCAGATTTTATTCCTCGCTTTTTTTGGTTGGGAGAAGTAAAATTAGTACTATTTGCCCAAATTTCAATAACACGATGAGTGATGATAACAGTGAAAAGGGAAAGGTCGTCGGAAAAATCATTGTTTAAGGAAGAGTTCACATATTCTAATGGGGAACGCTTCATGTGAATTTTATCAACACAACGTAACCTTTTGCAGTCACGTTCACAAAAAGCAATCATTATGTCACCATGCAAGCTTTCTATAATTTCGATGTCAGTCACAAAGCACCCGAAATCACTTCTTACCTTCTCCCTACAGTGTTGTAAGGTTCGGACTTGGAACTTTTGTTGCTCTTTGACTTTTTGGGTGATATAGACCTGGATCTATGCTGAGTACTCTGCCCTTCCAACCTTGATCTTCGCATCAGGTCATACGGGTCCGGGAGAATAGTGGGCCGTGCATGGTACGATGGACTCGCTCGGACGGTACCAGCTCTTGGTGGTATTGCAATGGAGGAATGGACTGGTGCTGTGGGATAACATCGAACCGTGCCAAACTTTGCCGATGGATCCAACTGCAAAATACAAATAGTATCAGAAATTATTTTTTTGAAGCGCCCATTTTTTTATATCGAAGCAGCCGCATAGTCAGGCATAAATACTGGGTCACCACACCTGCTATAGGGAGCTTAAAGACGCACAAAAATAATTTTTGGAACGCCTAACAACAGTAGAATTGGAAAAAGTCTTCTGAGGTAGATTGTTCCATAATCTCAACATGCTAGCGATAAACGAGTGCTCGAATCGGCCCGTTCTGGATGTACGAATTTCGACACGGGAGGCTGACGTCTGGCGGGTCCGTCTGGCAGGTTCATCGCGCGGCGGTATCATGGAGGAAAGCTCTGAGCGGCAAAGCATGTTAGCAAGCAGTGTAAGAGAGTATGCGGCCCGTCGGTGGTAAAGGGTCCCGCGACTATCCATTGGAGAAGAGTCGTCGACAGTCCTCCTCTGTACAGCATCGGGCAAGGATAATGTACTAGGGGCGACAGCACCCCGTGCATGTGAGCACTACTCGAAGTTAGCTCTTATCTCTGCCTTGAACATAGATAGTAAGAAGGCTATGTGGAGAAAAGTACGTATAATCCTTAAATAAAAAACCTCCAGCAGCTGTCACGTTTTACGAGATATGTTCATGCCAGATCAGGTGCTCAGTGATTTGGACTCCGACCAGCCGAAATCAACTCGGCCATCCATTGAAACCGGATGAGCGCTAGGGCGCTTCTTGTTAGGTACTGTGTTTTGAAAGCATTGAAACGTTGATATGTAATAGAAACAATAACGAAGTCAAAACCGAGCCCTGGGGAACAGCTTCGTTGACATTGTGGATCATAGCTATTTAATGTATTAAACGTGTGAAGTCTTACTTTGCCAAACGAAAAATACCATAACACTAAAACTTTGACAGGTATCTGGTCAATAGCCCAACAAAGCTTTCTTACACTCAGCACTCTTATTACATAACAGAAATTGTAATTATCTGGCACTCGCGATCACCTTCATTTGTACTTCGTACTAGCATTAAAATATTTTGCCTGAACATGACCCACCATACTGCATTGCGGCGACTAAAAGAAAGATCTTAAATATATTAGTGCCATCTATTAGACAGTAGCAGAACATGAAATGCATTTTTGCAAACTCTATAACTTTTGTATGAAACTTTTTCATCTGAACGCTCAAACCTTCCTCGACCCCCTACAAAACCCAACCCCAGATTTTCAACCGTAACAAAAATGTTTTTGAAAATGATGAGGAGCCTCTGCAACGTCAAAAATCGAAGTTTGAGTGATTTTAACATTAATTTGTGTTTTTGCCCTAGCTCTGCCGCCACTAGACTGATTTCCAAAAACTACAAAGCTTTTTAAAATTTTAGTAATTTTGAGTGAAAAAATTTCAATCCGAGCAATACTTTCTAAGTTATATGCGGTTCAAGGATTAGCGGACAGACCGACAGACTGACAACCGACGGAAATGAGTAACATAGTTTTTCGTAACGTACATGTCATATAACGTCAAAGAAACGTAATATGTCATTTTCGATTTTTTTGCGATTAAAACACTTTCTCGCCAGTAGGACCATTAGAATTTAAGTTCGGTTAGTCTTATCTTTCCTAAAGCTTTCTCACCGGTATCAGTAAACCGGAACTGTACCTAAGTTAGCAGGTACGCAGGCGTTTAAAGTACACATTGATGCTAAATAATCAACGTTTTGTCTTTCAGAAAATAAGTAACTTGGGATCTTTGACTTTACGCAATGGTATACTGGTATATACGAATCAGTAGCCCTTTCAAGTGTGGATGTCAGGTATACCACATCCATCTCTTCTATAATAAAATTCACACGCTACACCATCTGGCAGATTGTATGTCTACATAGTAACCGACTGTTGCTTTTTAAATTGATACCATTTGCTGTGTGATTTTGTTATCAAAGGCTGTTTTAGTCATTATGGGGAATAGGTGAAATCTTAAAACTACTTATACTGCTATTTGTTAAGACTTAATTGCATATTGTTATGTTGATTATCTTTGGACTAATGAGATTGATAGTAGGTTTATGCAATCGTTTTTTGTAACTGTTATGACTTTGAGGTTTCTGTGATGACGTATAAGTTATTAGCATTGAAAATATCTTTAAAATGTTGGTATTTGCACCATACCTAGATTATCTGTTCCACTCTATATAGCTACCGAATAATCCCAAGTTTCATTTTTTGGTAACAACGGGAGACCAAAGTATTGTCCCACAAAGTTTCTCCGTATCAGTAATCTAAACTAAAATTCCATTCCTGGATAAGTCAGATGTGTAGGTTCCGAATTCAGTATAATGGACAGAGTCTCAAGCAACCTATTCACTACATCAAATTTGACACTATGAGACTTTACGATTTCTTGAGGATCTTATTCCCATTTAACGCCCTAAAATATCAGTGCACCAAATTTCAGTCCCTTAAAACATACAGTAATGGATATTTTGACCTACAGCGTTCTATAATACTCGTATCTTTCCTCTGTGACAGAAAAATCAGTAAATTCTGAGTAACTGTGTCTAGGAGAAAAAGTTCTTCTGGGTAATCGGATACATAGATTCCGAATCTGGTGCCAATATCAAACTAAGACTTTTCTCTGTCTGTCGCTATATTCACCCACCTATATCCCGCGTGCTTCACCTGCTTATCTCATTTGGGATCTTCCTCTGCTTCGTTTATATTTACAGGGTTTCCAATTTATAATAATTTTGTTCCATCTGTCATCTTTTTGTGTTATTTTGCAGCAAATCTTCATTCTAATTTGGCAGCTCCTTCTCTAACATTCCTTACTTTTGTTCTCTCTCTTATACACTCGTTTTTTTTTACTATGGATTTCTTTGTTTTTGAAAATACTGCTTAATTTGCCTAATGCTGCCTATGTAAGTCTAACCTGTATGTTAATTCCTGCTGATTGGTTCTCCTTATTGAGCCTTAAAGCCTCTCCACGCTCACGCGAGAATCACGAATTGTTTTAAAAAGTAATCGAGAAAGTACAGTGTACCAATAATCTGTGAGAGAAATACTTACAGCTGTTAACGGTAACCTGGTCCCTCCGCACTTCCGGCATTGGTGTGGCGCATTCTTCTTGGCCCTCTTGGTACCGTTGAGGTAGTCTGCGCATGAGCAGAGCACGAAAGCGGGAGTGAGCAGCAGTCCACCTCCTCCTCCTCCCCCGCTAAGTCCACCGTAAAGCCATGGATCCGCGTAGCGCATCGAGCGCGAGAGGGCGCTGCTGCTGCCCGCCGCAGCCGCCGCTGCCGCTGGACTGCAGCTGCCCGATGATGATGAGAAGTCGCCCTGATGCAAAAAAAGACTCGAAGTGAATACAAAGAAAAAAGAGGCAACGCGGTGGCGTAGTGGTAAACACTAAGATACTATTACTGAAGAGGAGAAACCCACCCACATGCTATCAGTCTATCTCTTTTGAACTCGTGACATAACTCAGTGCAAAATTCCACAAAGGCGACTGAAAAACGTTGGGTTTTATATGGCGCTTTAGCATGTAGTTTGTGATTAGGTTCATTAGTTTATATGGTGTGTGGAATATAATTAGAAATAGTGAATTAAACATTTAAGTATGGTGTACTGTGAAGTGGTGGGTTAATCAAGAAACAACGACACCACGGGCAGAGACGTTTCACGTTTCTTCATTTTTAGAAAGAGAAACAAGTTTTCTATCATTGGGTTCTGAAGTGTTATCGGCAACTCATATATAGTGTAAAAACAGCAAGTGTTTTGCGTTTTGCTCAGAAGAAAAAATATTTGGATGACCTCAAAATAAGTGGAAGTTGAAAAGTAATGGAATACCTTCCCTTCATTTGTCGAAATTCTCAGGAGTGCAGACATCTCACAGTCTACGAATGAAAAAGGTCTAAATATGGTGGATATTATAAAATAAATTCAATAAAGAGGTTTATCAATACAAAGGACTTTTATTGAGAAAATATTAAAAACCATGTAGGCATGCCATTTTCTAAAAACCTATAAATATGTCATAGATAAATATATACTATCTTGTTCTTTATTCTCTCTATTTACTGTTCAAAAACTTAACATAACAAATTAATATATGGTACTGATGCAAAAAGGTATTATTCAAAATCAATTTGTTTCGAAAAAAAAAAGGCTCTTTCTTTGGAAATCTAGAGAGATTTATGTTTGAAAAGCTAGAGGCGCATTTCCAATAATTACGAGTAACTCTTGAACAATTCAGAACCCTAAAATTGTAGATTGCACATTTTTCAAAAATTATAACCTTATGCAGATTCTATCTATTCATTCTATTTATAATGATATTAAATTTTATTGACTGAAACATCAAAATTCAATTAAAACATTCTGTATAATACTAAAATGATCATAAAATCGATATCAGAAAAAATTTTAGGGAAATATTCAATAATATGGAAACGAAAACACTCTAATGCAGTACATTTCCTACCGACAAGCGGGACAGTTGTAACTGTGTAACTCTGAGCCGACAAGTTATAGTATCATAAGTAGGCGCTACGTGTCTACCAATCAATCGCCGTGAGCAAAGCGAAGGTGATACTCGTAGATGATTTTGGACAGTCGAACGTGGAGGTACAACCCGGCGGATTTCTAAGGTTGGGCCATAATATGTAGATACCTTTTGCATGCACACGTGTTCCATCGCTAGCATCCTATTTTCCTTGTATACCTACATAACCCCACATTTTCAAACCATAATTCCAAAATTTTATGAACATCATACATTATTTACCACGTCTTGAACTGCCCAGATAGTTCAAAATATCGAAAAATAAAGACTATTTTAAATTCTGTTTTGTCTTAAAATATTGGTCATGACATTTAACCTAAAAAGATGCTCACAGAAAGATAGGTTATGGGGAAGTTGTATACCAACATATTTAGCAAGAAATGTATGCCGAGAACAGCAATTTTTTACTATAAAAGTTGTGATATTGTTGCAGCTGTTGCAACAATTACTAAACGACAGTTCTATAAGTGCTTCCATTGGGAGCAATTTGTTGGCTAAAGTAGTAAATTTGTACACCAAAACAACAAGGGTCGGCACCGGTATTATGTAAAAAATCTATAAAACGTCAAAATGTCATCTTGCAGACTCGGTAGTTCTTAGGGTGCAAATAGGCATTCGACTTTTGCTCATTAGGATCGTTGTGAGCGTCCATCAATGGAGGCATGACTCAACTACACGCATTGCTGGTTGCATATGTTTTTGTGAAGCCAAGTAGTCTGTAGTTTTCATCTCTGAGAAGAAAGTTGGTTGAATAGCAAGATCGCATCTGGATGCTTATGTGTATTGGTCTGCATGTGTATAAAATTAGTGATATTTTCCGTGTGAGAAAATCATTACTGAATATGCTGCCAAACTATTGGGTGTGCTCGACGGGTTATTTATATGTTGTTCTTTCTGGCTTCTTCTAGCTATAGTATACAACTTACAGCTTACACCTCCAGTAATGCCATCTCTGAAGCAGATTTTACATCACATGAGAGACAAACATTGATAACTGAAGCCTCATGACGTTTAGGCAACACGTACAACTACAAAACCAGTTCACAGAGTGTTCATCAGCTAGGGCTAAGCTAGAATCTTGTAGAAAAACCTACATAATGTCACAAAAAACCAATACCAAACCAATACAATGTAAAAAAAAATTACATAATGTCACTTTTTCAAGATACGTAGTACCCGGTTTGTTGAATAAATGTTACGATGGATGCCACAACACAACAATTTTAACTACCGTACAAATATTCCATATAAAATAGTATGAACGTTTATGCAACAGTTCAAAGTTTGTCATATAATGTGTTGTATAATTGTATAATACAGAAAGTAAATTTGCATTCCACACAACATTAAGACAGCATTTTGGTGTTCTGGCAACAACATAGAGAGCTTTTCCGGTCAAACGCTTCTCACAGTTGGGATGACTTTGCATCAAACAGTAATCGCTTTTCCGCTTTTGACATAATAACAATGTAAAGATTTCTTGAAAATATCGGATATATAGCATTCCCAATCAGACGGCTGCGATGACGGAAAAAAGCAATTTCTCACAAATTAAACTAAATGCACCGAAGAAAGCCACTGGCAAATACTGAAATTCTTCAGGTGTTGTGCAACTACAGCACTGCCTGAGAAATGAATAGGCAGGCAGAGGGACTCTTACAATCTTGTGTGACCTAAGACTCTATATATGTCAGCTGTTGCAATTGCAAGCAATACTTTCCACTTATCAACATCATTACTTTAGGGTAAGATTCTTCATCTGATTACGTCTCTCATATTATGTTATGAGGAGCTGTTCCTGTCCATATTTCGTATGAATTGTAGGAAGACCGACCGATTAACGGAAGAAGCTTCGATAACACAGGTTCAGTTGATAATAAATTAAGCTTCTTCTTATTAATGATCTTATATGTTTCTTCGTCAATCAATCTACTGTTACATTTCTCTTATCCATATTACGAACTGTGTTTTTACATTTGTCCTTTACCGGAATAGATTCCGGTAACTTTGTTCATATTATCTAGTCAACAAGCCTCGAGAAACTTTTTCCAATTTCAACCATACAAAATTGTTCTGCTTGCAAACCTTATCCTAGACGTTTCTTAAGACTTAAACATGTTTACTTAAAGGATTCTTCGAAATGAGAAATTGTATTCTTGTTTGAAAAAGGATATATTTGACCTAAAATGCTGCTCCGTATCCCTTATCACCTACCTACACTAAACACTTAGATGTGCCAAGGGTATGTATTTAATGTGATCCCCTTATTCCTAAGAATTTCAGTGTATAATGTTATACTTGTGTGTATGGTAAATATTGCCATAGAGACATCATTTATATCGCAGGACAACATAAAGATACAACAAGTTTGTAGGGGGTTAGCTATTAAGAAATCTGAAAAGCATTGTTATGATACTATAATGTCAGCAAATATCCACTGGGACACTTGTCAAGATGAATAGCCGAGTTCTACCAAAGAGCCATGACAACTGTTTTTATTAATCACAGCTGTCAGAATACGTTTGAAATAGTTTTGGGTAGTTAAGGTTTTCAAAATGGGAAGAGGAAAGGTTATTAGTGAGAAAATTCGGTTACTGATAATTAAATTTTTAATTCTGGGAAATCAAACTCAGAAACTGCAACTTTGTTAGACTTTTCGCAGTACAGTGTGAGAAATATTGTTAGAAGATATAACGTAACTGGTTCAGTTAATATTAAGCCACGATATGTGAAAAAAACTAATATCACAAATGCCGACCGAAGAGCATTAAGAAGAATAATCGTGAAAAACAGGCGTGCCAATTATTTACAATTAAGTGCTCTATGGAGTGACGCTGTTGGAAGGAGAATTTCGATGTCCAAAACAAAAAAAGTGAAGTAAAAACCCTAAAGTTGCATAACTCGTTTATAGGCCAAAGAAAAGCCACTATTAACTCCACTGCAAAAGAAAAATCGGCTTAGATGGGCTAAAGAACATAGACAATGGACACCTCAACAATGGTGTGTAATACAATGGAGTGATGAGGCCCGATTCGAAGTTTGTGTTGGTGACAGTCGCAATAGAGTTATTCGCAAAAAAATAAAGCATTCCATGTTGACTGTCTGAAGAGAAAAGTGAAATTTCCAGCATCCATTATGGTCTGGGGCAGTATGTCATCAAAAGGAGTAGCAAAAATTGATTTTATTCATGGAAATGTGGATACAAACAAATATTTGGCAATTTTAGAAGAATGGCTTTTGCCAGTGATGGAAGAATGTTTGACATCCGGCCAAGATTTTGTGTTTCAGCAAGATGGTGTAGCGTGCCATACCTCAAAAAAAGGCTATAAAATGGATGGAAGTAAATAATGTACCACTTTTGAAATGGGTTTCTAGCAGTCCAGATCTGTCACCTATTGAAACTTTGTGGCACGAGATGAAAAAGGTTCTACGACATCCTGCTCGTACAATCACCGAACTGACACAAAAGCTTCAAGAAATATGGGATTGTTTTACACCAAATGTTTGCCAAAACTTGGTTAACACTACGCCCTAAAGAATTTCAGCCGTAGTAAAAAATAAAGGTGGTGTTACCCAATGGTAATCTTTCAATTGTTGCTTTGCTAACTTCGCGCATTTATTCGGACATTGTTTATTTGTTCAGATGTTTTATTAGTTATAGGTCTAAGTGGTTTCAAATATGTATTTTTTACGACTAGAGTGTATCTAAAATGTTTTTGAGAAAATAAATTGTTTTAGAAGTAAATAGTTTCGTCATGTTTAGTACAAATCTTGAAGTGGGCCAACTGAAGTGGGAAGGGGCTCGTAGTGTCGTTGAGTCATTCCTAGTCCATTCCATAAATGGACGCTTTTGATGATTTGCACACTAGGCAGCAAGTTGACATTTTGTAGTTTCTTTATGTCTTATAGATTTTTTACGTAATAGCCCTGCTGGAGGAATATCAAGGAAACTTACCCTAAATCTGCAAGATGAGTACGAAGTGTCAGGAGGCGAAGTAGGGAATCGTCGCATCGCATGGCTAACCACTGCAGCCATGGAACGGGATGTGGTGCTTCATTACTGAAACATAAAAAAATATAGTTGAAAAAGCTGTCTACCTTGTTACCCTGTTTGCTTAATTGGTGTTATCAAAATATCAACACGGAAAATGTGAGGCAAGTAAGCGTGTTTATACTATTTTCATGGTCGCTATTTATAAAGTACAAATGCACATCGACTGAACATAGCTCGTACCAATACTCTTCAATCCAGAATAATAAGGTGAAAGACCTACACGTAGTATTATACGAGTACAAGAAACAATATTTCGCCTGTCTTCATTCTACCATTTGAGTCGAAGCCTATTACATGTTGTTTAGCATCAGTAAAAATTCGATAGACTTGTTCCAGCACCGATAAACATTAAAAACCGCGATTGGAAAACCAAAAGCACTCACTGTGGACGTTTTGGCTGTGAAATAAATTTGTTACTGCACTGTATCCCAAAAGGTTTCCTTAGAAAAGAATGCATAGCCAATTCGATCAACTTTTGATAAGCGTACCCATAATCAATTCCATCAAGGCATCTCGTCTGCAATAACAATTTCATTTAGACAGGCAACTGTTATGCAATGCCAGGGCTTGCAGGCCTACTAGATGCATACTGTAACATTGTGAAATTAACGAGGTGCTCGTTTTCATTTCGAAGGTCTGAATAAGCCATTATGCTTGTGAAAATATATACTTTCGTCGCAGGCTAAGTAACTTTGGAGAACACTAAAACTTACGAAATAGTTATGTGGTAGACCGTTATCTTTACATTGAAAATGAATAGACATTTTATTGCTTCTACAATCTAGTCGAGAGAACAAGGGCGAGCCCAGCTTTGAATCATATTTATGTTTTGTGAACTCAATTTCTCCAAAAACCTAGATTAATACATGTGAAGATAGGTATCGATCTTAGATTAATTCACAATCAATATCTTCTACACCGTATATATCAAGATGGACCATGAATTCGCACGTTTCATATTAATAATTCCTTTTCGATTTGGAACACCTTAATGCAATTGGTCTGAACACAAGGAAGCCCATGCTCCTTTGAGATCATGTATGATCAATCCGATCCACAGCTTTACTGATGACAGCACTCTAGATGCAGGAATTCAGCCGATCTCTGCCGCTGAGCTGGAGACAAGAAGACCATCAGCGACTGCGTCTCTGACGAGAGCTCTGGAGAGTATCACTTCTTGGGACACAATAACCTGGTACAGTTGAATACTTCAAAAACACATTACTGTACCATGACAAACAAGAAGCGCCCTAGCGCTCATCCAGTTTCAATGGATAGCCGAGTTCTACCAATGAGCCATTAATTCGACTGCTCCTTTGTCCCTAGGTTGTCGAGATTGTTGAACAATCTGGCTGGGGATGCCATTTCCAGTTCTGCTAACCTTTCTAATCAAAAAATCAAAAATCAAATTAACAAGGTGTTTTTGAGTTTCTTATAGCATGCACGGTGATCCGTTAGCTAGGCCTTGACTGCGTGGCTGCTGCGGTGTAAAGAATTGAATCAATGCAAGAGCTTTGTTGCTTTAGAAGTGTTTTAAAAACCCTACACCGTTCTTTCTTTATTCATATGTCATTTTAGTGCTAGCTTCAATTTTACGCATAAATGTATTTCCCACTTGATGTGTTTTATACGTAGATGGTTATAGATATTTCTTATTCATTGGGAACAAAAGCAATTAGTGAAAATGATTTCGTTCGATCAGAATTGTATTGCGTCAGCCGCGGAAATGTCGCAAGAAAAAACTTTTAATTGTTATTATATATTAGATAATCCGGAAATACACAACATGAAAGCTTATACTGGTAGTTCTTGTTAGTGACACTGAACATAACCAAAGGTGATTGCCACAAATAAAGTGCTTCAAGATTACGTAAATATGGAACCAACAAAAAGGTGTCCGAATTTTCGTAACACCGTGGATAACTTCATATAAAATCCAATAGCCATCAACATGGTAGTCCAGTAAGAAAATTATAGTAACAAAAAAGGTAGACACCTACGTATGCTTATTAGAAGTCAAGAATTTTTCACATATCGATTTATCTCGCCATGAACCACAAGTGATAAAATGGTACGGTTTTTCTGTTAAGTTTTTGTGGGGGATGCGTGTATTGTTTGGTGATAAAGAAACTTAGGAAGGTCGCGGACAGCGAGCGAGGGGTTCTGGTACTCGAGTCATCGCTAATCAGCGGATTGAAGAGCATCGAAGGATGGTTGGTATGCGTACGGTATACCACCGAATACGTCAGCTTGGCCTTTTCTCTTATCGTCCACATTGGGTGCTACTTCTCATAGCTGAACCTCGCCGTAACCGTTTTGGAAGAGGACCGCACATCACGACTCTTGCAAAACATCCCATATAACAGCAACCATTTAGCTGGGTCTCACTTCCATTGAGGACAGGTTACTATGAGAAGAAGAAGGATAAGACTTTCACCCTTGACTCATTTTATAGCCAAGTTGTTCTGTCAAGTTTACAGTATATGTAGTGACTAGAGAACTAAAGAAATATTCTAATATTCATAGCGCAACAATTTATTGTTCCTGTACACGCTTGACTCATACAATTTATCATCTTTTCCGTTTTTATTTTGCGTTAGTGTTACGATTGTTTCGATCCAGCAACTTCGCTGTAACGACCCATTCTTCATAATTTTCTCCATAATTTGTACCATTTATTCCACATCCATGCATAATCATCCGCATTATATAACGAAAAATTCAACTAACGGGAAACAAAATGATTTGCCAGTTCCTTAAACACACAATCGAGTTTGTATATTCATTCTAGATTTGCCGTAAATGATGCCCCCGTTATTTTCATTGTAATGACAGGAAGAAGTGTTAATGATATCGACATTAAACTGTTTTTTTTGTGTTCAGTAAGAAAAATTTCTACTTAGAAATTATAGGTTGCCTATAATGTGCTATTGCTATATACACCGAGAACCAAATACCACTGACGTCGTAATTTGTACGAGAGAGAAGGGCGAGAAGCGTGCAATCCATGTGTTAGAATGAGATAGTAGCACCTCGTCGCCTAGCAACCCGAGTACGAGGTGACGGATGCCATCGGCGCACTTTTCACAAATTGCACGCTTCTCGCACTTACCGTATGGATAATATTAGATAAGTGCAAGAGGCTTAAGGTTTACTACGCACCGTGTTTAATTTATAAACAAAGATTTGAATGAGGCTATGGAACTATTGATGCAATTAATAGAATAATATGAGATAGAATTTCGGATGGATCTGGATAAAAGTTAGTAGTAAATGAGAAAGTACACATTTGTATGTGTATATGTTGTATATCTCAAGCTTTTATGGAAGTCCTAGCACTCTTCCGGCTTCGACGGATGGCCGAGTTCTGCCAAAGCTGCACATGTTCGGGATGCAGCCGCCGTGACTATATTGTCAATATTCGATGCTATTCGAGGGAGGGCTGTCCGACTAATAGATAACACGTCCATAACAGACAGTCTCGGGACCCTTTTGTACCGACAGGCGGTCAGTGATCTGGCTCTCTTCTACCGCTATGTCAACGGGATTTGCTTCTCCGACCCCTCCTCCATGATGCCGCTGTGCGAAGAGCACGCCAGACAAACCCTCCTGACTGCGGCCGGTACGACCGCTCCTTCGTTCCTACGGTGCCGAGATTTTACAACAACCTACATGAAGAGGCTTTTTTCAGTTCTTTACTGACCTTAGGAAATAGGACCTACCGGGTGCCCCTAAGCTCCTTATAGCAGTCGCGATGCCAAGGTATTCAAGTGTCTAACTTCTCAGCTGCACCAGCATAAAAAAAGTAAGGTCCGATCAGGCGTTTCAGGAGAATATTACCATGACTTTTGGGGCTCCTAAGCAGGTCGAGGCTAGGAAAAGAATTAATGTGTTAACGAAAAACGTGTTGATGTCATCTGGCTTGATCACCAGAGTTCTTTCTGTAAGGGTTTCTAATAAATCGAGCACTACAAGCATCTAACGGGTAATATTCAAGAATCTATTCAGAATATTTCCATTAAGATCTCACAAAACTGATGGAAAACGTAAACCGGTTTCTGAGGCTTCGCCAGACAGGCATTTATGTTACGATAATTTTTCATATGTAGCTCCTAACTTTCAATAAAAGATTACGACAATCAGATTTGATCTATTTTATTCTAAATCAAAGACATTGGGGAAACAAATAAGTCAGCTATATGTTACCCACCCTGTAGAGATGATAAAATACAAGTACCAAATTTCTTCTAGAATGCAAGGAAATTAATTATTCCAATACTTTATTAAATTAGCTACATATTTGAGAGTATATTGTTTAGTTTAATTAATTAATAGTTAATTTAATCTGGCGCCCTTGCTCTAAAAAGACGACTACTGAATTGTGGAAAATCTACCTAACTGCATCGCCGTCGCCTCAAGACGCCAAATAGCTCACTCGTAATTACTTAAGATAGTGCTAACGGGTCTAAGCGCAAAAAGAAGGTTTCATTCGCAAACAGTAAAAAATGTGAACTTGTAGTTGGTGGAGAACTGTAATTATTCCATTTGCGTTACGTTAAATAAGCTTCCTGAAATATCACGCGCATGAAATTTTTAATAACAACATCAGCTATTTATAACTGCGGGTTATTTCTAAGTCATTGTAACTGGCGTTGTCATCGCGAAAGGTAGAATTATGCTTCATGATTAATAGTTGTCTTTCTGTTGAGAGAAACTAACGTTGAATCCGATTATTTATTAAGAACAATTATTCTGAAGTAGATGATCAATTTCCGTTAGTGACAAAATTACTTTAATTTCATTGTCTCAGAAGCTTCAGAGTCTGATAGACAAACGCTCATATCAAGATCAATTACTTTATACTCAAAGGGGGATCTTAAGGCGGACCCTTACAAGTGCGGCACCCATATTACGTAACTCAAAAGCGATATTATATCGATTTTTTATGACGTTATGTAGGTTTTTTGACATTACGTAGTTTTTCCTATAAAATGTCATCTTTGACCTTGCAGAGATTCAATGCATGCTCACTTGTACGCGCGGAATAAGCAAGCGGCAC